TAAACCTCGAACTGCCCACATCACCTGAGGCACTGCACATGCAACGTCACAACTCGAGATGACAATGTCAAGTGGTCAAGCGGCTGTGGGAGCCTGAAGTCCCTTCAGTACCCACGACGGTTCAAACTTTGCAATGACGAGAGCAAGAACAACTGCATTGACGACGGCGAGTTGTTGTAATCCGCCGAGGCCACAGGCCCAGGCGTCTTGGGGGTTAGCTCAGGTACCCTCCACCTAATCCTCCTCCCCACGGTCCAAATGTTTGGGGACACCCGTTTTTTGCGTTCGTTTGCCACCCCCTTGCCCTTGCCCGGCTTCCCCTCATTTTACCTGATTTGTCGGCCTCCCCCCCCCTCCCAGGCCTTCCCCCCCCCCTCCTCCCCCCTCATTTTACCTGATTTGTTGCGTTTGGTTTTGCGACGCTCGGCCCTCAGACCTCACGCACCCTACCTGATTTGTTGCCCTCCACCCTCCCCGCTCCCCCCCCCCCCCCCCCCCCCCTCCCCCCCCCCCCCCCCCCCCCCCCCCCCCCCCCCCCCCCCCCCCCCCCCCCCCCCCCCCCCCCCCCCCCCCCCCCTTGTACCAGTTCTCAACCGTCTAAGGGTGGGTTGGACAATCCGCCCTAGCATTAAAAAACCTCGACTGCCCCCTCGCCCTGCCGCTACACAGCCGAGGCGGGCGGCGTAGCGTTAAAATTACCCACTGCGTGCGAAGGTACCAGCAACAACAACCCAACACAACTTGAAACCGACAGTAACACCGAGAGCGAGCGATAGCGAGTGTGTCAGAATGCAGGGCAGCGGGCTCTCAACTGTTGCAAGGGAGAACATGACCTGCAGGTCTACCACCGTGACAGGACTGCCATCAGAAAAACTGACCACCGCCGTGTCACAAACCCCCAGCCAGCAACAGTTTCACGAACGTCCAGGAAATAGATGACAGCGCCGGGATTCCACTGCGGTGTCACAAACTGACCCAGGGGTCCCAGTCAGCAACTATGTGAAGAGAATACCACTGCTTGGCCGAGGGGGCAGAGGCATGCAAGAGGCAGAAGCTAAGAGCAAGCCGAGCAGGCCCTCTCTCCTTAGCCAGCTCCGGGCGAGTCCCACGCAAGCAGCATTGCAAAGCCTGTCTTCAAACTTTGAGGATGGGGGTGGCAGGCCTTGAGGCCTTGGAGCTTACGTCTCCCAATATTGCCGCAGATGGTTTTGTCTAGGTTGAGTGTCCGGGAACAATTTGACACCTGCGCGATGAGTCCAGGTTTCATCCCAAGACAATTTCGCAAGTTGGTTCTCGAGTACAGTACAAGACTACCATGAAAGTCTTTTCCTTTTCTTTCCGGATATGTCCGGATGCAATGAGCACTGATAGCACCGTTTGCGGCTCGTGTCAGGCTTTGTGTCCAGAGGCTTGCAATGCACCCGGTGTAGCCTTAGTGGATCTGTCGAATTGGGACGTCAGTTGCCGCTAATCTGGTTCAATACTGTGGATCCTCGAACATAAGCTCAAAGATGCACAACCCGGATGCTGACACGAAGCCCAGGTGTAAGACACCACATTGGGGTCGCAGTTGGCCTCAGAAGGCACAGCGGCATCCACTCTCAGATGGACGCATCTCTGTCTCTCTTTCCAGCTTTACAGGATACACGGATACACGTCGTGCTAGACATTGGGGTTTCAGATCAAGTTGCAACAAGACCTCGGACCTGTTGCGCAGCATCTTTGGGCTACAAATCTCGAGGCTGTCCTGCCTAGCGCTTCGATCGAGCATGCTAGGCGACCCGGAAGGTGCTGCATAGCTCTGAGATCACACTTAACAGCCTTTCCACTCTGAAGCAAACTGGAGCCGTTGTCAACCTGTATTTTTCGTATCGTGAAACGCTGGCCTAACTGCGAGCATACGGGCAAGTACTGAGCCGCCTCTGGCATGGCGCGCAGCAGCTGAAGTGCTTCTGACCACCTTGGTCAGAGATGCTGCTGCTGAATGCCACATCACTTTCCAGCTTCCGGTAAGCCATGAATACTGAAACGGCATCTAAAGCCCGTGGCCGGGCACATGTACTGATACTGTCACTCTGCTGGGTGACATCACATCTTCCCTGTGCTCAGAAGTTGGACATGGCGATCGATTCACAAGGCTGTTTCAGAGACAACGTATGCCGAGGTCTTAGGCCCTGATGGTTGAGCAAAGAAACCTTTCAACCTTCGGAACCTAGGTTTGCCGTCAGGCGTCGTGCTTCCACAAGCTCTGATCCGGTAGTTGAACTCCCGGGTTGTCGAACCCACCTTTCCAATCGATGCCCTTTCACCGGTTCTGCTCCCGTAAACAACTTCCCATGACACCTTACTACTGATCAACCCTGCTATGACTACAGTCGTTGTCACCACGACGATCACGAACCTCCCGCGCCACTGGTGAGCAGGCGTCGCAACCTTCGTCGGAAGCCTCTGGCCTCTGGCCCTTCCCTCATTAGCATGACCATCACCATCACCACCACCATCTTCAAGGCTCCAGACACCGTCAAGCATGCAGCCGCCCACCAACACCAGCACCACAGCCACAACTACAACGACGACCACGACGACAACAACGATGACAATGACGAGGACGACGACGAACACGGCGAACACCGCGACGACGACTGCATAGGCTAATCGAAGAGTCGTGCGCTTTTGCTTTCTGCTTGCCAATGGCAGTAGTCTGCCGTGTGACGACTTATGAACTACAGGTATCTGACGGGTTGGAAGCAAACTTCGAAGTAATCGGAGAAATCGCCAAAGTGGCCAGAGTCAGAGATACAACACGGCGCAGTGCGCGTGGAAACTCCACTAACCGAGTTCTGCCGCTCGTGCCGCTTCCTACTTGCTCGGGTTTGATGCACGAAATGATTTGTGAGACTTCTGGACTTGCACCACTTGCCCTGCCTGCTCCCTTGCCCAATCCAGCACAGCATGAGGCCGTTCGGCGATAGTTCAAGGCAAATAGGAGGGGCGCACTGGGGCCGAGGGCATGCCGGAACGGGGGTGGGGGATACCTGAACGATAAGAGGCGGCGGAGGTCTTCATCAAGGGGAAAGCAGACTTGTGCCACTTGGAGGTTTTCACCGTGGGAAGGTGCAAGTGGGCTACAAGAAGCAATGGCACATTTGGCTTACTTTTCCTGGTGCAATTGAGGCAATAGGGGCAAAATGAACTAGCTTTTCCCGCTGAGCAAGTGGACAGATGTAGAGCCAGTGGCTCAAACAAGTGGATGCAGTGAGCGCTCGCAGTGTGACGGTGTTTCAAGTGTTTGGGGTGCTGCATGATCACATCCTGGGTCCTACGTGTATCAGCAGAAGCATGCACATGGCATCACATGGCTGTCGTTGTTGCTTCGAACACAAGTTCCCACAAAACAACAACACGGCAACACCCTCAGCTTTGCATTAGCTGCCCTTGTTGGTTTTACAATCGTAAGCATCAGAACCGGCCTCTTCCCCACCGTGATTCTCATTACCATGGTCAACCTCATCTTGCGCTTTATCGTGGTCATCACCTTCAGGTTCGCCGCCATTGGCATCACCCTCCTGCCACACCTCTACATGACGATCACTGGCATGCCTACAGTCAGAGGCCGCCCACTACATGTGTTGCCCCTTCTGTCCGGGCCTCTGTCTGCCAAGGCGCCATGGAGCGCAATGCGCAAGCCGCAGAAAGTTGATGATGTCGCGGGGTATTGGACACAGCGGTGACTAGAGACTTCAGGGGTAGCACCCTGGCAATGCAGAACCGGGAACTCACAAGCCACATGTCTGACAGATAAAGCTCCTGGGATTTGCGATTCCTCGCATGAGTTTTTTTGCCTCCTGCATGGCTGAGTACACGAAGCAGGGTGAATGGTACAGCAAAAGGGCTCCCTGACCCAACGTATCGTGAGGGCTACGCTCCACAGCTCAACATCCAGGATATGTTTACCGGGACCATATTGGCCATCCTCGTGAACGGTCAAAACACGAAGTAATGGTGCGTACATTCCATGAGTTGAAGTTGACGGTCTGCGAATCTGCACACTGCACCATCAACTTAAATCCAACCGAAGTTCAGCCCAAATGGCCCATGCGGTGCTAATCGTCCACTGACCAGGCTGCACGTGACTCGCCCTTGCAAGACAAAAAACACAAGCACCAACAGCTTCAGCCTTGCGCACTTCGGCCCCGATCACTGCAACATGAAGGAGATACATTGCACTGCTCCTTGCCGTGCGAAAGCTTTCCTGTCATAGCACGCAGCCCTGGGCCCCAAGCTGGCCTCATGATGTGCTAGTGCTGGCAAAACGGCCTCACGACCAGAAACCCGGCACCCTTTTCGTGTATCTTCGCTTGGCGAGCCGCAGATGCCGCAGCAGCGGTCCTGGATGTCGGCATTCGCACGTTCATCCGAATGACCTGGAATGAACTGCTTAGCTCAGGCTGCATGCAGGGTGAAGCTCAGGTTCCTGAGTCACTCATGAATTAAGCTGCAGTCATTGCAGGAAACGATGGAAACAGGACAAGACGATGTCACAACGCCTCCGTGCAGGAACAGTCTCTTCCGGAAGCACGAGGGTCACTGCAGCTTCCCTGTGGTTGAAGATGAGCCTATCATGTCAGCGATGATCCGAGACTTCTCCCTGGAGGATGATGCCTCTAGCCGCAGGCTGCAGGCCGGACCCATCACATCCAACAGGACAGGATTGCTTTGAAGGGTAAACTCCAGAAAGCTGGACTCCCCCAAGGGATTCCGAAGCTCTGTCTCTTCTGGAACAGACCAAAGCGACATACCCTGGCCGACCCGTCGGCCGGGAACATCGAAAGTTCTTTTCGCGGCTGCCCTCTTCGTTGCCCAGTCACTACTTGCTACATATGTGCTATGTGCCAGCTGCTACTGAATCTCCCTTCTATCTGTTTTTAGTTAGGTTCCGCTGGAGCTCCGCAAGACGGGGAGCGGGTGCTCCGCACAGCTCAACCCTAGTCGACACTTAATTAAGCTTGGCTTGCCACGGATGGCTGAAGGTCTTCTTTCTTTCGACGGACCCTGTAGAATACGCAGCACCCTGAAAGTCCACAAAGGCACAGCAGAGTGGTCATTGCGGAGTATGTCGCCACAAAAACCCATGGGGAGTTGGGAGGACTGGGGCGATCGACGATCCCAAACGCAGGAAGTGCCAAGAGCAGCTCCATCTCCAAGTCGATCAAAGCTTGCAGCATTGCTTCGCTGTTTTGGCCCTGCGTCTCCGTTTTGAAGATGGCCCAAGCCGCGTCGATCTGCTTCCAGTGCTGCTTCAGGTCCTCTCGCTCTGGAATGATTTCCGACACGGCCCCATCCTGACCACCATCGCGGAGGATAAGATGCATGTCTTGGAACTCCTGAGTGGCCTGTGCCAAGCCACCCCCTGACTCCGCTGCGGCCGCGGCAAATGTTTGTGCTGCCAAGGCCCTCTGCCAGTTCAAGAGCTCCACCCTTGCTCTCGGCCATGCCGGGTAGGCCGCCTCAGCCTCATCGGCATACCTGCCAGCGAGTGCCCGTGCCGCCTCGCACACACCAGCGGCTTTGTTGGCGGCCACCGTGCTAGAAGGCTCAAGGGAGTCCATAACATCGCGAAATTCCTTGACGGCGCCTTCCACTTGCAGGGCAAAGTTGTAGCATGTCTGGCTGGGGGGTGCAGGCAGATGGGGGTGTAGGTAGCCCAGCATGAGCTTCTCAAAGGACGTCGTGACGTCTGCGAGCTTCTCCTCCAAGGACTCCGCGAAATCTCGGCGAACGAAGAGGCTAAACGCCTGGTTCGTTAAAACCTCAGTATCTAAACCAAGATGGGGTCTGCATGCTGCCGATGAGCTATTGTAGCATTTGATTGCAACACTTCCTCGTACAGGGTCCGAAGTGGAGCTTCAGCGGTTAATGGCCCCCGATCCCGTGCCAACTTGACATCATCATCTCGCTCAGGTAGCAGGTTATCTTATTGACAAGAGTTGATGAAGCTCCCGTTTTCGTAGCCGCCTTCGGGCTTGAGGCGGCTGCTCGCTCGCTCTCACTCGCTCTCTTGTTCTTCCTCCACACAGCTAACAGAGCAGGGCTCCTCCTACCCCTCGCCTCCCTCTCTCTCTCCTCTCTCTTTCCGGGGGATAGGGACTGGGCGAGACTCCCCACGCCGATGGCGCAACCCTGTGCTCGGGGCTTTTCCAGGAGGTGAGCAACCCGCAATAGTTGAGAGAGACGATTCCTCAAGACAGACTAAATGAAAGAGCTATGCGCGCTGTCCCCGAATCTATGATGAGAGCACAATGCCATGAGACAAGCTGGCTGAGGAAAAGATGCTGTACGCGGGATTTTGTCAAGAACAAAACGAAACTTCACACACAATCAATCCGCAAAAAATGCGCCGGAGAATAACGCGGGGAGTGATCTGGAAAAACAAGTGCCAAACAGTTTCATTTGTTGAGTTGAGCAGCTTGAACTAACTCATCACCCCCATCAACACCACCTTTCAGGACGCTGTGAGTCGGATGTAAATTTCGAGGTAGCTTCCCCCGTTCTTACGATGCTTGGCATTTTGCATCGCTTCCCTTGGGATGCGGAATTCAAGAAACGCGCTTGTCACCTGCAGGACGGTAGGTACAAGCACGGGTAGCAAGTTAGGAACGGACTTCCTAAATGAACAGAACAGTCAGGACTTGTGGAAAGTTTCAATGGTCCGACTGCCCTCTGGACCGGCGTCACCGTGGGGCTGGAAAGCTCTTCTAAACCAGCATGGAGCTTGACCCGCGCCAGCTTGTCATCAAAATGCGGACTAGCACAGAAATTAGGGACAACGGCGATTAAATTCTGCAGGGCAAGGAGCACAGATCTCGGATGCCTCTAGCATCAAATCCTGGAACTCCTCGGACGTCAAGTTGTGCTTCCTGGGTCCACGAGCTAAACCGTGCAAGAGCGAAACACGTCTCAACACCAGTGTTTGGAGCAGGTCAACGGTCATGGCCTGAACCGCCTCGCGCCTTACGCTGGCCTGTGTGTTTGAGCTCCCACCTGGAATCCGCATTTATGCATGCAACAACTCGCCGATTATGCCTTACGCATGGTGGCACATGGACCGCCACCACATGCCGCACACCGTAACAACAAGCGGGGAGTGTTCGTTCCAGGCGCACAAGTGCTGAGCAATTCCATGCAGGGTTGGATAAGTGGTTCTGACATTGCCTGGGGCGTCCACGACTACACTGACCTCGTGCTTGCGTATGATCGGTGGACTCTGGAATCACAATGTTCGAATAAAAATGCTCATGAAGAGTTGTGATACCTACGCGACATCAACGGCCTTTACAACAGCTCGAATGGGGAGCAATTCGATCAATAACATCTAGCCGCTAACCAAGATCGGATGCTTCAGTATTTATGGCACACCTGACCCTTCCAGTAACACATGCAGAACGTGACGTTAATGGTAAGCAACCCAAGCAACCAGTGTATGCGAGAACTCCAGGCAGCAAGCAATCCACCAGTATCCAGGCATTGGGGACTAGCGGCTGACATGTCACATTGCCCCCTTCGTAATACCTCGGTGGTCAAGTCGCAGCAATTTGAAGCAGCAACATTGGCAATGTGATGCAATAGGCTGACGAAGCAGACGGATTTTCAGCACGGCTTTGAGCCCACGACACCCCAAGGCAAATGAGCAGTACTTCGCTAAACCTTCCATTTTCGGAAGCAATAAACCCGAAGTCTTCGCCCCTGCTGCACCTTCACGGCCTGGTTTCTGAATCGCAATGCAAAAACCAGGAAACGTGATCAGATACTCGGCTGCCACGTCCATGAGGGCAACGGTCTCCTCTGGTTTGAGATTTGGGACGCCAGCTCGGCTGATGACGGGTTATGGCTCATGCTCAACAGGGAATAGTATAGCAACATACATTAGCCGAAGAGTTGCACCGCATTCAAGTGATTAAACCTTTCGGATTGCGCACGGACAGGCAAGAACTGCAAGCATAACTAAAAGCGGACTGTGCAGGCTGTGAAATGTCGAATCTGGCCCTCGTACCGGACTTCATCATCAAACGCGGGGACCCGGAGAAGACACACTGGAGTTCCTCATAACAAGCAGGTCCTTGAAATACTGGAGTCTGCTGGAGAATCCAGTAACGCCTTATCGAAGCCCAAACGTGATACAGACCCACCTGGAAAGACACACATCAACTATCATGTCCCCAGGCTGTCTCCTCGGCACGCCCGCGCAGGTTGTCAAGCTCACTGTGCTGCCCGCTGACCACCGACAGCGCAGCCGTCTCCAGGCTCCCATAGCCATCTTCAACGATTCTCATCCTGTAATCTGCCAGGCAAGGAGTGAATCATTGGTCATGCCCCGACGACTCCGACGTGTTGTGAACAATCGCAGCAAGTGTCGCCAAGGATCTGATGGACCGCGCATACATTGCTTACTCTCCGCAAAGCAAGCCCCCTGGTGCTGGCTGCAGCTCCCAAGAGTAGATCCTTGCACTGCATGCAGCTGATGGGACACAACACCAAGCTTACATCTTACGATGCCTTGCCAAGGTTCCTTTTGCACCGAATGGAAAGACTTGATGGTCTTATTGACTTCGAGCGCAACCTGTTGAACGTAAACAGATCAGGGATGCGGACGATCTGAAATTCTAGGGTTGCTGCAACGCTTCACCGTTTCCGTTTCCGTCGCACAAGCAGCAACGACAAACAGATAGGTACTGCAGGCAGGCAGACAGCGGACAAAGGTTGAGTGTGCCACGAGCTACATGAGGCGCACGAAACACTCTAATGCTCAAAACTTTCCAAAATTTCCAACCTCAGAACTCACGAAAAGCTGTAATGCTCAATATCAGATTCCTTAAAAATTTGGAACTTTTTGTGCATTACAGTGCTTCGTGAGTTTCAGGGTTGTGAAAAGTTGTTTTTGTTTGAGCACTACAGTTTTTTGTGAGGTTCATGCCATGAAACACTGCTATGCTCAAGTTTTGTGGGCTTTGAAGCTATGAACAGTTGATTTGTTTTCGCATTACAGTGTTTGGTGAGGTTCAACCCACGAAACACTGTAATGCTAAAAAATCCTAAATTTTACGGAATCTGCCACCGGCCTGGCCATAAATGCCAGTTCTTGGAATTTTTGGAGCATTACAGTGTTTCGCGAGTTTCAGGGTCGGAAATTTTGGGAGTTTTTTGAGCATTACGGTGTATCATAATGTCCAGGACAAGATAAACTGTATCACAAGATAACATTGTGCTTTCAACCGTTGTCAAGAGCTGGAATTTCTATCTTATGTGTCTTCTGGAACCGCAAAGGTTTTCATTAGTCTGGTTTGATAAGTATGAACAAGGCCCGCCTAGTCGTTACATAGTTTACGTCATGTATGTTTTCGGAGGTTGGTAAATCTATGGCACCAGCAGCACTGGCTCTAGTACTTGAGCTTTCTCGAACATGGTTTCGGCCCATCTTCGGCAAGCTGCCCAGCCTACAGATCCAACACTCTAATAATGAATGCAGCTTAAGTGCTAAAGCAGCGCAAGCACATCTAGAACTTATTTCATGTCAGGTTGAAGACTATAGCAGGCTGTTTGCAGTTTTCTATCATCAGAAACAATGGAGACTTCCTATGCGCTTTCCTAGGAGACAGGAGTTTTCATTCAATTAACTCTTATTGATGCTGTCCTATCGCTATGTCTATAGCTGTTTCTCTAACCGCTGTCATAAAACATAACGCAAAACAAGGTTCTCTTCCATCGTCCAGCGACACTCCCTAGATGTGATCAGCAAAGAAAAAAAAGCTTGTTTACTGGTATGTTGTATTAAACGGGCAGGAGGCGTGCGACTTCTTTCGGTTTCTATTGAAGCCACCTCCCGCATATCCTGACAAAGCGATACCGGTCCTTCTGTGTATGACTGCGGTTTAGACGCTGTCATAGTTCGAATCACAACATGAAAAGGAGCTCTTGTCAGTCTTCAAAGAATAAAGGTGCGCCATCGTCCATATTGTTCTTCTGGATTAGCAGGAGTCTTTATGTCTGTTGCTTGATAGGAGTGAGGATGGCCCAAATTAGTCTTCGTTTACTGTACTTCGTCTTGTATCCTCAAAAATAGATAGCGATTGCTATGCACATGGCTGGCTGCCTTTAGTATCTGTCATAGATCGTATCACAATATAAAGAGGAGTTTTCTTCCATGAAATACCATTTTACTTTGCTTTACAAGGATAAGGAGCCCCTGCGTTGTGATTGGTACGTATCAATGCAGCCAGTCGTAATTAGTCCTGCCTCATGTTTGGAAAGTTGCAAGAGCTCTCTTACTTCTTGCTGCCGAGAAGCCTTCTTGTGCGCCCGCAGACGCACATGAACTTTTCAACTCCAGGGGAGCTTTTCCATTTCTTGAGGCAAAAAACAACTATTGGAGTAGGGCTTCAAAAATAAACGCGCTCGTATACTCGACTTCATTCATGTATAATGGACAGGACATGAAAGGAGCTCTTTGTGTTGTGTAACGCAAAATCAAATGCTGGAGCTATTCGTGTGCATCAAAATCGGACGCTTCACGAGCAGCGGGAAAGAGATGGCCCACGCACACATACGTTTTTGTAAGAGAGACTGTAGCATTTTTAATATTAGAGGAATGTTGCTAATAAGCACACCATAAAACACTATAAAACGCGAAAAACAAGAGGATTTGTAGTACTACATGAACAGAAACAGCACGCCCTCCAGCATTTCAGCTTATCCAACACATAAACTATCATAAATCTGCGGCCGAGATTCGGCGCCAGATTTATACACATATCAAACCCGGGACTTGTAGCAGCACGGTTTCCATCCACATGGGATAAAACACGATTGTATCGGTGTTTACAGTTTTCGCGGCATAGATGAGTAGTGGACCAATGTAGAGAAGCAACCTGTGGAATCGTGTGGAAGAGGCGGGTGTAGATCTTGGGGGGTGGCCAGATATATTTTTACATATACATATACATATACATATACATACACATATACATATACATATACATATACATATACATATACATATACATATGTATACATATACATATATATATATATATACGCACACATACCTACATACATACATATATACATGTTTACATGTATATATATATATATATACATCGATATGCACACACGGACACGTCCGCACATTCACACTCAGCCGCCTTCTCCACATGGATGCCACGTGCAATTTCGTAGGCTTCGGCAGCGAGCCTGGGCTTCACGCTCGCGCAGGCTCGGCTCTTTCGTTGCTCTGGCCCCTGGACTTACAATATCATGCATAACAACTGACTTGCTTGGCTTTTGCTTTGTGAGCGCTTGCAGTGTGAAGCAATTGCTGCTGCATTGGCTCACCAAACTTATCCAATCTCCCGGTTCCTGAATCGTCTAGGGTGGAGCTTTGTCCTTGTAGCTTCACAGCAAAAGCAAGTACTGGAGGGTCTCACTTTCAAATCTGGCAGCATCACTGAAAGGAGACATCAAGCCAAAGCCGAGGGCCATAAGCAACAACAGCTGAACTTTCCCGTAAGACCTCCAATACCAGTCTCATCGCTGAGGCCTTGATGCGAGCCCACACCTTTAAAGCAGTTGGATTCTCACTCTCGCAGTGCGAGGTCCAAAGCCTTGCCAAGAAGCCGATGCACGCTAGACTGCTGATCGCTGATCACTGCCAGGAGACCTATCGAAAGGTCACAGGCCACAGGCTCGGACTCGGGGTCGCAAGATTTGGAATGCACTCCGGCTTTGGGCCTTGGGCCCGAAAACAAGTCTAAACTGATTGAAACGGGGTGGCTCCCGATCGACTGTTGTCTAGAGTCTAGAGACTGGCCTATCGGAACGTCCTCCGAAACCGCCATGGTTGCCTCGGCCACAAGATCGTTCCTGAGGCAGCACCGGTTTGGCTCTGGAGGTGCGGACTGGGAAGTTCAAGGCTGTTCAAGCATCACAGCTTCAGGTCCCGACCGACAGTTGCAAAAAGCCGTCGCAATGTATACCCAAAGCTAAGGATAGCGGCGTCGCAGCGGCATGGATGAGGAGCGACGAGCCTAGATTTAAGCCTTTTATCTGAGATCTCAGCCTGCGAAATAGAGCCCCGAAATAGGGTCCAAAAACGTCGTGTTGAAGGCACCGAAACTCCCGAACACATCAAGTCATGGCCAGCCGCACCAGCGACGAGAGAACATCGCGCATGTCATTGGTAAGATACTCGACACGGCCGACATCGGAATCCTCAGCACCGTCGTGCGCAGGATCAGCACAAGCAATACATGACATCTGACGGCATGAATCAAGGGATGCAGCTTGAAGCAAACCCACAACAGACTCTGAACGAGGACTAACCCTCCCGATGCCGCACACGGCAATGCTTGCAGAACCAGAGCATGACCAAGGTCGGGTTCCCATGCCCCAATTGAATCACGGCACGGGAAGATAATCCAGGGCGATGGACTCCTCGAGGATCCTGTGGGACGCGTGTATCGAACACCGGATGACCTCCACGTGCCCTTAAGCCTCAAATGTCTCAACGAGTGCAGGGCCAAGCGTCGAGAGAAGGTTTTCCCACAAATCTGCTAAGGACAACAGCCTGGCGGGCAGGGCATCTTTCTCTTCTCGCAGCCAGTGCAGCAGTCATTAATGATTATCATTAATGAATACGCAATCAAGCGGAAGGTAAGTATGCGACGGAAGTATTGTGGGAGTCACCTGGAAAAGAGGATGAAGTGAAAGTGGCTGAGCGATGCTGAGCGAGCCTCGAAAACGACAAGAACTACCGGTCACTGCGACATCGATACACAAGAGTGCCATGCAGGCACAAAATCACGGATCCCTCCACAAGCAGAAAACAAGAATGGCAAAGCCAAGGCCTCAGACGCTCGAGAGCATGCAGACTTTTTAATTTTTTGTGACAGCCCCACCCTGCAGAGATGCAAATTACAAATGCATCCCCACGATACTGCACCGCTGCTGGCAGAAGCACCAGAACCCGGAGCTTTCAAAGAAAGTTCATATGGAGGTCGTCCTGTGGGTTGTCTAGCTTGGAACGCTTGGAATAGAGTCCTTCCCTTCGGGAAAGATCACCTTTGGGTTTTGTGATGCCCCCCTTGATGATACACCGTCTGCAACGCTGGTCGCAGGGGGTGTCGAGTCTGGTCCTCGCAACCCGTCCGTTCGTGCTGCTGCAGTGTTTTCCGGCAAAACGGTCCTGCCAGCTTCGGATCTGGACAAGCTTGGCAGGTTTGGGGGTTCGACCCAGGTTCCACAGTGAAGATCAGTTTTCCAAGGTGTGTGGGTGAAGTTGTTCATCTTTCAGAAAGTCGTTTTGACCTTTTTGCAGCAGGCCTCGTTGTCCAGCAGCCCGGTCCGAGCGAGTCGTCTTTACACTTCAAACGACTTGAACTTGGCACTGAAAGACTCTTGGGCAAGCAAGCTAATCATCGGCTGCTTGAATGATGTGCACCGTCAGTGGGAACACAGAAGAGCTCTGAACCTAACCCAAACAGAGTTGGAAAGACGTGGAACAGCCTGCGTCTGAGCAGGGTTCTGCTGATTTGAGGCTTGCGAGGTTGGGCTAGCGGGGCTCATGTCATGTGACCAAGATGCCTCGACAGGAGATCCTGCGTCGGTGGCGCGGGTATCCCGTTGGCTTTGGATCCCTGGATCCTGGCGGCTCGAAAGCTTCCCTAACATGGACTTCAACTACAAGGGCCCCTGGTTCAGATTTTATTTGAACTGAGACAGAGACAGACAGACGGCGAGACAGAGAGACAGAGAGACAGAGAAATAGAGACAAAGAGACAGAGAGACAGGGAGACAGGAAGACAGAGAGACAGGGAGACAGAGAGACAGACAGACAGACAGACGGACAGACAGACGGACAAACGGACAGACGGACAGACGGACGGACAGACAGACAGAAGTAAACACACACGCAGAAAGACCGGCACAGACACATACAGACGGGCAGGAAGCAGGCAAGCAGGCATGCGAGCAGGCAAGTAGGCAAGCAGGCAAGCAGGCAAGCAGGCAAGCAGGCAAGCAGGCAAGCAGGCAAGCAGGCAAGCTGGCAAGCAAAGAAGCGGGCAGACGGGCAAACAGGCAGACTGGCGGAGACAGACAGGCCTTGCTACAGTCTGTGCCATTGCCGAGCTGCAATTGATTTTTTTCCCGGGTGCTGGCCGGCGTCGTCACAGCCAAATCGACTTTTCCTTCAGCCGAGCACACGAAAAGACGGGGTAACTTGGAATCAACGAACCGCATCCTGCAAAGGCCCCACTCTTACCACGTTCTTATGAAACTTGTCTTTTCCGGCATCCCGCGTGAAGAGGGCAAGTGAGAAAAATAACTGCAAAGGGGCAACTATACAGGTGCGTGCACATGCTTCGTTCAGATCACTCAACAAAACTAACAAGCCCGCCTTGTTCGACCAGAGACCCTGCAGCCACCTGCATGTACAAGCGATAGACCTGCTCTCAGCAAGCAGGACTCAGGCTTGACAAACTTGCCAGAGTGATATGGGGACATTGCTGCACACACGTGTCACAAGTACCGGTAGAAGTTCGAGATTAGCTACCTTCTCTGCTGACTTCAAGGATTCCGCAGATTGCTGTGCAAGAACCTGCTGGCTCCGTATTTGCAGCGACGCCATAGTTCTCATGAGAAGCCACCAATCACCTGGCAAAAGCTGTTCAGGCGGCTGCCCCCCTTTCTGAGTGACTGAGTGAGTGCATTTGTTCTTGGTTGGTTGGTTGGCTGATTACTAACTTAACCTTACTTAACTAGTTCGTTCCTGTGTTCGTTCGGTCCGTCGGTCGGCCGTCGGTCAGTGAGTGAGGGAGTGAGTGAGTGAGTGAGTCCGTGACTCGGTGAGTCAGGGAATCAGTCCGTCAGGCAGGCAAGCCGGGCCGTCCGTCTGTCCGTTACGTAGTCAGAGTGTCAGTCAGCTGGCCAGTCAGTCAGTCAGCCAGCCAGGCAGCCAGCCAGCCAACCAGCCAGGCAGGGAGTTAGCCAGCCAGGCAGTCAGCCAGGCAGTCAGTCAGTCACTTGGTGAGTCTTTGGTTGGCTAGATAGTTGGATAGTTGGCTGCTTTGCTAGTTGGTTGGTTGGTTAGCGAGTTAGTTGGTTAGCTGGTTGGTTAGACGCCAATATGCTCACTTCCGAATAGATAGCTAGTTGGCTACTAGCAGTTGGGGAGTTGGGTACCAAGTCAGCAAGCGAATCGATTAGCCAGCAAGTTAGCTGGCCAGCAAGTCCGCTGTTGATCTCCTGAAACCAAACATCCGGAGCCTCGTAAACCCTGTCACAGTAGTCACTGCTAGGGCACTGGGCGTCATGTTCTTGCGGGGAGTGCACGTGCCAGGATCATTCACGTACCTGGGCAGTTTTACCAACCATAAGGCATTTTCAGACTGTGACTGACTCGGTGACCGGTGGAGGTGCAAAGCAACAACACCATTCCGAGACTGGGTGCAACTCCACGGCGACGTTCATGGCCTCGCATGAACTCGAAGTGTCGTGTTGCGACGTCGGCAGCCATGCTTGAGAGATTCGTGGAAGGTCAGAGACCACTAGAAGTCAGTCCGGGGCCAATGTTTCAGACTGCTGCACAGCACTGTTCCGCCTCCGCGAGGGGATCGGTGAGAGAGGACATGTTTTCCGCTGCAGACACGGCCTGCAGTGAGGCAACACATGATCAATCCTTTTCGCGGCCAGCGCACTTCAGAGCAAAAGCTCGCTGTTGGGGTCAAACTTCTCCATGGCTTTGACACGTCAGTTTCCCAAGGACTGGCATTGCACTACAACAAGCTTTCGGAGCAATAGATCCACGAACCTCTAAACAAGCAAGGGCGCAAGGGCCTGCCTGGCCGACTGAAATGCAAGAGCCAATCTTCTGCGAGTGGGCCCTTTTCCGCTGCCAAAACTAATCTAGCACAAAACTGCATGTGGTCACAGCTCAAGACATGAATCATGGCAACAGGCACCTCTCAATGGAAACACTGACAACCTAAACTTTTCAAACGAAATTCATCCAGGCTTTGATCTTGGCTTGGCTGAGCGGCCAGTGCCATCGCATCTGTCATCTCGACACTGAGCAGTACGCGAACAGGGCCTCGAATTGCCTGCATGGGCAAGTCGAAGAAAGTGAAACAAACACTACCCGGACATGACATCTCATGATTCGACAGAAAGTGTATGTTTGTGTGCTCGTATGCATGCGTGTGGATTTTTATGTGCGTGTACATAAACATGCATGACTGGGCCCGAGGCTTGTGTTTCTAAGTACATGCGGGTCTTCATACGGTATCTTGTTTCACTGACATCTGTCGCCGGCACCTTTCACTAAACATTGCAAGTCTGCGATTGTTCCTCTACACATTGAACTGCGACACTCGGCTGCGCATGCCAGGTCGGATGTTGGGCCGCAGGATGCGCAGCACCACAAAGCTGGCCCAAGTTCTGTTTCCTGAAGTACTGCCTCGTAGTAGTAGGTAACGTGGCGCATCTGGTGCATTGGGCATAGCCTGCGGGCGATGTGAAGTCATGATGACTGGTATCCAACGACTCCCGCATCTCGCAGCCAATCACAGCACATCGACAACATGACACTGTTTCGTGTACAGTTGTGGCTTCAGGGTATGTGGCGCTGCTCACAGTGTCGGTGGTTGGACATCACTCCACAAGCTGTGAGCTGGGCCCAAATCACACGCAGGCTAAGAACCAACCTCCGACCGCCCCCAGCCAAGCCCACCGTGCAGCATGACCGCAATGCTCTACTTCCTACCTCCAAGCTTCTGGAACAACTTGATGTGAAACTACCTTGCTGATCTGCTTGTATAACGGAACCACAAAATCCTACAAGCCATTCAAAGACTGCAAACGTGGATGGGAGTAAAAAGAAGCTAGAATGAGAGTCAGTTGCCAACGTATCGCAGCAACAATGGCCGGCAGAATCTTGGGCAGTTCAATACTTCTGGACAGTTCAGCGCTTCAGTCAAATGACCAATTCGCCATCCTCATCTGACATGCAACCGAACAACCTTCCAGCATTCAGTTCCACAGGTGCAAGCCCCAGTGGCACTGGCATGCGTCTACAAGTCCCCTTCACGACCCAGCCCGGCCGTGTCAGCCGAGGGATGGAAGCGAACTCAGCTCCCTGAATAATGGCATTGTGCGAGTCTTCGAAGAGGTTCTGGTTTCCTGGGCTTCGGGGCACACCGGGGTAGGTAAGTTGGTATTCAAATGAACTAACACCATAAGCAACATCGTTATCACAAGCATCATCGCCAACACCATCACAACCCCCCTGCATCCTTGTCCTCATCCGCATCCTCCTCAAGATCGCATCAGCATCAAAGCCGTCCGAGGCTTACGACAACGACATGCCCACCGCACAGCCGCACAGCTTCTGATCTTGATGGTCATTGCCGAGTGCTCTCACGAGCATTAGAACAACCAGAACCCACTCAGAGCCATTCTCGCGAGGCCTAGGCCTAGGGACTCGAGGTTGGGGGCTTGCGTCGTAGCCGAAACATGTGAAATTATGTGAAGGTCGTTCATGAGGAAGAAATGCTCTGTGCAATCCACGGATTACAAGCAGAATCATTGTTCTTAGGAAAAGCAACGAGTCCTACTAAGGCTCCTGAGGCATTACAGACATTGACATCCGTCAGAATTGTCAGAGTCAGAGAAGATCGACAAAAGCGCTTTCTCGGAAGAGCCCAGTGTCTTCTCAGAGATTCAAGGCTGGATTGAACGGACACCCCCAGAGCGCAAAAGAGAACCTCGGACGCACCGATGCTCCAATCCGATCGGCTGCATCAGTTTAAGTCCAAGCTTGAGGCTTGCATTTACATCTTGGTCCTTCCTTCGGTCTCAGCAGAAGGCAACATACTCAAACTGGCAACATCGATCTCGCCTAGCCGCATCTTTAAGCATCTTCTGGATCAGGCTTCTCTGCCTGCCGGCGATGTCCACCAAGAGTCCGGAAGTTTGAGCACCGCTGGCCTCGGCAGCCTTTGGCGAAGATAAGGGGTCGTTTGAAGGGGTCTACCAATTCCAGAGTCTACGCGTCTTTAGAGCGTGCTACACGGAACTGCCTCGAACGACAAAAGACTAAGAAAGTCTACCAAGTAAACCCACCCCGGCCTCCCCCAGCAGGTTTACCACGTTATCGGACGCGGTAAATAATACCATATTCTGCTCGGACAGCTCCTGAGACAGATGCTTCAACACACTGCAGGAATCTTCCGAACACGGCAGACATCGCACGGCTTCCTACAGACGTTAGGCATCGAGGCACAGAAGCTGGCGAAATGACAGCTGGAGAGCCTCGGGACTAGATTCCGTTACTTCGACAATGTTTGGGTTCCCCGGCAAGGCACGTAGAGCACTGAACCGCCAGGCGAACTTCCGGCGTTCTGCAGGAGAGAAGCCATTGAGGTGTAGACCGGCAGAACTTCGTTTTGCAGGAGGTCCAGCACAGCTTTGGTCGGTGCCGCCAGAATTTGGTCACTGCTGCTTCCGAACATGAGACTTTGAAGTGTGGTGGCAAAAAGGCTGATGGTGGCCTGCATCTTCTCCTTGTTCTCTTGCGGATTGATGCCCAACGCTACGAGAAGGAATTCGTTCGTCATCTTCTGGGCGAGGGTGCGTTGCCGCCCTGCCATGTTGAGCGTGTTGCTCCACTCGGCGTTTGTCGGGGCATTTCCGACGACAAGGCCATGATCACAGATGAGACTCCTGTTGCAGGTCACCTCGCTTTCGCGCATTCTGACTAGGGCTAGGGACTTTGACAATAAGTGCGTTATGCTCACTTCTGCTCGGGCAGCCAAGTCTCGCAAACACCGTTGTCAAACAGCTCGGACAAGCCACAGTGGATGCACTGCTCTTGCCAATAAAAACCTGGCTCGAAACCCAACGTCGCTGAATAAGAGGCGCAAGGCTATACACGATTTCAGGATTAGGTTCACGACAAACACGTCTAAACACTGTGTCCAACAGCAGCAGGATGTCGAGAAACCATGTCAATACCGCCCGAGCAGGTCGTGCTCCAGGCTTGTAGGAGACACACGTGAAGAACGTGTGAAAAGCACAAGTACATGTATGCCAGCTTGAGTTCAGGGTGTCTCGCTGATGCCGCCAAGGGGCCGTCGCATGCGCACATGCTCAGCTCCACGGCACCCTGGCAGATTTGAAAGTCTCAGCAGCCTTCCGCCCCGGCTTTAGGCACCCGCTCCCATCTCCTGCTGGCCTCGAAGCTGGTTGTCAGGCCAGGCGGACACAAGGTACATGCCATCTGACCTCCGATTTGGGAAACTGCCAGACCAAACATCGGCCACAGGCCATGGTAATACTGCCAGCAAGCGTGCATAGGCCATGCTAAGCCGTTGCACATCCTGGTTCCAGTCATGAGACTACTCTGACGAGCCTGGCTGGGATGCGTACGTGCCTTCGGAGCACTTCTGGCAATCAGTCGCCCCGGCTGAGCTTCTGAAGTGACCTTCACCGCCAGCTCATCAGAGAAGCAACTCCAACTTTTACTTCCGAGATCTTGAGGCTTACGGCAAGTCAACACCACACCCCCAGTCCGAGAATGTCAAGTGCGGGCACAAAGAATTTAAACCTCCAGCCCGTCCGGAAGGGCCTGCTGGACAATCGGAACAGGCCGTGGCTCCCGTCGCCGAGGAGTAGCTCCCCGGCAAGCATTGCCTTCAGAGAGGCATTCAGACAACACCTGTACTTATCCTGACATCTCGGACCTCGCATAGGGTGCCGTCGGCTTAATCAGGCCCAGTCACTGGCAGCTAGCTGCTCCTGGCTGACTGGCAAAGAAGCCTATGCCGCAAGGCTGGCAGCTCGCCATGCCACCGGACGCATGCCTTGGTCTGGGGCAAAGAAACCACGAAGCACACACTGTCTCAAGCGCAGCCACTGGATTTGTCCGAGGTGCTGCCCCGCCGGACACTCAGTACAGCCCAGCTCGTTAGTCCAAACTTCACCGTCCGGGCAACTGCTGCTGCGATCTGGAGGCAGCCAAGCGCTGCTGAGACTGCATGCTCCACTGCAACTGACTCGGTGCGCTGGATCCGGGCTCCATTGCACGTCCGTCTGGAAGAGCATGCCCGTCCCTGTGCGGTAAGCTAGCTGGTTGAAGGTGTCTTCGGCAGGACCTCCAGCCTGACGCAGAAGGATGACACCGTCACGGTCTCCGAGAGAAGGGGGCGTCGTGATGGGGCTGACCGTGTTGAATTGCCGCACCCGGCCGGTTACGCCCATGAAGTCCACCTGCAACGAGAGCTCCTCCAAGGCCTGCCGGGACGCCGCCGTGGCGAGGTCGGCGACAGACCTCCCGAATCGTCAGGGCACAGAGCTCAAGTCTCATAAGAGGCTGCAAGATCTACACCATGGAAGCTCCCATGCATTAATTACTAGTTCTAAGCAACGGTTGGGCATGATGGGGGGACATGTGTTCCAAATTCCAAACACTTATTTTCCAAGGACCTGTTCCCCGACATGTAGGCGTTCAGGACGCTGGCGATAAGCCAAATGCCATCGTAGAAGTAGCCGGCCCACTGGTGATTGCAGACTCCTATCCCCCCCGCGAAGCTCGAACAGTCTTGCGTGTAGTTGCTGTAGATATCTGACAGTCGTCGACCGGACATGCCATGGACATCGTCGGTGTTCAGCATTGGTCCGCGATCTGCGGCGATTGCCCCAAAGGCAGCACGGTGCAGCTCGACAACAGAGCAAGGGCAATCACTCGCACCAGCCCTTTCCGTTATGAAGCCCGGGTTCCACCACCCAGATGCCACAAGGAAGTTATAGTCCGGAGAAAGCATGTTGCTGTGATAGCTCTGGCAAAGTAGCATCGAACCCTCGGTCTGATACAATGCCAAAAAGTTGATTCGAGAATCTTTTCGCCGCATCTCAACTGTTGCACTTTGCGCGTCCGGAAGGTTACCTTCACTCGTAATTTGCGATCTGAACAGGACAGTCCAGTTGTAGCGCCCTGCATCGAGGTCCTCCTGAACGAGCTCCACTAAGAGGTCCATGGCGAGGATGTTGATGCTCCGGTAGCCGTACACAATCCCAATTCGTTGGAAGTTCATGAGCATCATGAACCTCGGGCATACCCTAGCAAGGGCATTGCGGTGTTGTGAGTAACACCTTCCGAACAAACCACTTATCCAACGACGGCCCTGGCCCGCAATTATTCAGTGCATTTAGGGTTCGGTTTCAACAATGCCTCTGATGCAAATCCAGGAAGCTCATAGACTGCAAGGACGTTGAAGCGATAAGAAGGCGCCATGCGTGTGAAGTAGGGATAGCGCGAGGAGTCGCTCAAGCTTGTCGAAACGCACCCAGGTCCGACCTGCACTTCTGCAACCCAGCTGGACGGGCTACTTGCAGTTAGAGCTTGTCAACACGTTGGTACGAAGGCTAGTGCATGCGGCTTGGCATGAAGGTAGGCAAAGACTCTGCAAATCTTGTGCCTGGCCTGCAATACATTAAAAAATCGCGCTGCGTCATTGACTGCCTCACATGCTGCGCTGCAGGAATCTGCGAAGATGACGTGCTTCGTGGGGCCAGTCGTGCAAGCTTCGATGGTTGCTTGCGTTGCATCCGGCACCGAGCATTTCGAGTCGCCAAGGTACACATTCAATCGATATCCTGACAACAAAGCACTGTTCTCTACATCCTGCGTTGCTGCTGCGATGGCAGGCTCCACCATGGTCATGAGGTCTCCCAAGCCGCCACTGTACGGGCTGATTACCACGATATTTATGTCGTCGACACTGGTTCGAGCGGGATTTGCTGCCACCGTTACTTGACAACCGCTGCTGTGGTACCGGCATGGCCATGCAGTGTTGTCCACTGTAGCAGTGCACAGCGCTGGACACTCTGCAGCAGCCAATGTCGCAGAGCACGCAAGGAGTGCAAATCCATGCAATGCCATGCCTCCCAGTCCTTCAGCAGGCGCACACATGCACCTTTGAGCCTTAATGGCCTAACTCGCACCTTCAATTTAAGCTGCAGTCGCCTACACCACAAACTCACATGTCTTGCTCAGAGTTCGCAGGGTTCGCACTGAACGTGTGCTCTGTTGCCTTTTCGGCATTCCTTCGGTCTCTAAGGGTCTGCGGTCCTGGCTTCGCCATGGCCGATAAGAATGAGTTTTACATCGCAACTTCACCCGAGACGAGCAGGTGACAACAAGTTTTTTCGGCGATTTAGAGGTGCCGTGCTGGCAGTGTCTAGATCTGTAATTTAACTACGGAGTCACTACGAGCGCCCCGATTTCGTCACGGATGCTCGGATGCTGCAAGTGCAGATATTGCCGCTGTGTAACAGTGGATGACAGGAGTTCGATTTCGGAGTGGCCTGAATGCCAAACCCGCTGAATGTCCCCGATACACCCAGGAGACTCGTCTTTCAGCCACAGATCACCACGGCATAAGGACGTGGCTGTCATGGCAGGGACATACAAGTCATGTTGATCGGCCCTGCTCGTCAGTCGGCTCTGAAAGTGGAAACCCAGGAGCTACCTCCACACCCGAATTCGCAGGTTGCCTTCGCACGTCGTTGGGTATAGGCCCCGGAGCAAAGCACGAAGGCAACATGCACTTGTTCGCAGGCCATTACGGCCACTGCAGGCATCGCCACCGGTGCCTGCAAGCCTTTGAGGTCGCTGATTTGGCGGTACCGTCAAGGCAAAAGCAACTGCATTTGTTAAGAATCCGACGAAGTACTTCTGCCATTCCGCCGAGCACCCAATTCCCACACAGTTTGCATGTCTAGCATCTTCCTTAGCGCCAACTTAGGATCACGTGCTCGGGCAAGCTCCCCAAGCTGATGAGGCTGCAGCACTAAGGCTAACAGGGACGCCCCATAGTTCTTTGCAGTCGGCAAGCCCTTGCTGACACGCTTGCAAAGTTGCTAGCTCACACACACCCAGAATCAGCATCTAACTGATAACAAACTCTGCAGTGTCTTGAAGCACCGACACTGTCCAAGTCATAGCCAAAGTGTCTCTGGCTAATTCCGGGTGCCTAGTAAAGAGACTTCAAATCTGCTCGGCGACCGAAGAAGTCGAATTGCACTTAATTGGGCCTCGCCGGCCTTTAGTATTCCATGCTGTAGCCTCGCCCTACGTCGAGAGATCCAGTTGCAACTCGAGCTGAGGCGGGCATGGGTTTAAGCTGACATCACGGTAGGCATCACGGTGTCAGTGTCCTCGGCTATGCCTGGGAGTCTGGGCCGCCCTTGTTGCTCTTGCTCCGGTTCGCAGATCGGTACATGTAGCCTTGGGTGTACCATGGATCAAGGCAGAGCCATGGACACCAAACACACATTCTTAAGTCACGGTCTGGGGCCGGCACGTTTGACGAAGCTTCGTTTTGACCCAGAAAGGCTGAAAGAAGTAAGGCAAACGGCACATGAAGCACCGATCCTCTTCGTCTGCCTGTTCTCGCAGTGAGAAAATGATCAACCCTCCCTTGTTCCCCTGTGCAGCTGCCCCAGTTGTCTTGTGCAAGTTCCCCATCCTGTCTCCTCTGTATTTTACTCCGGGACACGTCCTGTTCACTGCAACAGCATGGGACAGAGCTGCCTGAGTTTGTGCCCCTCCTGGCTTACAGAAGTATCCAGTCGTGTCATCTGTGTCTTCCGCCTGTCGACACACTGAAGGTCGCGCAGGCAAGGCTTCCAGATGTAGCAGAGAAGCGCGACCGGCAAACCATGACCCATCAACCAACAAGTCAACAGGATTAGATTTGAGCGGTACGATTGAAAGGCAAGTGAAAAAGAACAGAGCTGTTTGCAAGAGCATGATGCTGGCCCACCTGGCACACGCAGCAATTGACCCCATGGAAACTTTCTCGCCAAGCCAGGTTGCATCCGAGCGCGGAGCAGCACAGCAAGATGAGGGCCATAGTTCCAAACGTGGCCACGAAAATCCTCAGGAAAAACTGCTGCGAAGCATTGATGACGACCGGTCGCGGCAGCAGCAGCGGTGGCGGCAGCAGCAACAAAACAACGTAACCATCATCATCATCGTCGTCATCATCATCATCGCTATCATCAACTACAGCAACAGCAACAACAACAACAACAACAACCACGACAACCATAACCAACAACCAACAGCCAACAACCAACAGCCAACAACCAACAACCAACAACCAAGCACCAAAAACAACCACCATCCCACATCCAACATCACCAACACCCAAAAACCAACCGCCAACAGCCGACGCTCAACCAACAGACAGCAAACAAGAAACAAGAAACCAGGAAACGAGGAACCAGGAGACGAGGAAACGATAAATGAGAACCGAGAACCGAGAAACCGAGAAACGAGGAAAGTGCAGCAACAACAACCGAGAAACCACAAACAACAATAACGAACAACAAGCCACAACCATAACCAACAGCCAAGAGCCAACAAAGAACAACTACAAACCACAACCAACAACCAACAACCAACCGACTGACGAAAACAACCAACTACAACCAACAGACCACCACCAATAACCAACAAACCAGTAACAAACAACCACTGCCACCACCGCCACCAACAACAACAAACTGCAGACAAGAGAAACACTGGAAAAAATAGCAACCCAGACTCCATGGCGACGTCTCTGCGATCACCACATCGGGAATGCTGAAGATCGGCACTGCTGCACGGAGTTCCGCCTGCACGGCGTCCAAGGTCATTGTGATCTGTCCAGTACCCTGGCCCGAAGTGACAGCCGGCTTGTAGGCCTGCCATGCGCTCTCGATGGCTTCCCACTGCAACTTCATGTCCTGCCGCTCTGGCAGTATGGCCGGCAAGCCCCCACCTCCATTGAGGAGGTTGGCATGTGTAGTCTCGAAACGGTTTATGGCCTCCCACATGGCAGTGGCTTCGTTCTGGACCATCGAGCTGAAGACCATGTTGGAACGCTCAATCTGCTGGAAAAGTGCCTGCGTCCGTCGACCGGGCCAATTCGAACCCGAAGCGGCGAAGCCTCCTTGAAGGTACTTTTCTCCAAGATCACCTGTCGCCTTGCACAGGGAAGACGCCAAGCCAGACAGCCCCGACATGGTCTGGCTTGTTATGGCGTCCAGGAAGTCCGTCACCAAGAAGTCCAGATCCCGAACATCTGAAAACACCTCCTGATTGGGCTGCGCCGGGAGGTGGGGCATTGATCTTCCAAGCATGAGGCTCTCGAAGGAGGTCCCCACAGCTTCCACAGTACGCTCTAACACGTCAGGCAAAATCTCGCCTTGGTCCTGTAAAACGAACTCGCCGACGGCCCTCTGCGTGAGGGAACAGAGGCCATAGACCTCCTCCATCAGGAGCTGCCAATCTTCGCCAGGCAAGTCCACATCATCACAAGTCACATTGAAGTTGTCGTAATACCTCTCCAAGCCAACAGCCGCCTCGACCATGTGGTCGTTCGCGGCTGTCGCGTACATTTCCGCCGTCTGGAAGGCTCCACTATCACCGCGTGCGACTTGGTAGGCGGCGATCTCCATGGCCGAATACTCATCCTCCACTAACCGCAGTGCACGAACCAGGCAGACGTTGGAAACACGCTTCAATGTCATGCCCATGGACCCTGAAGTCTGTAGCAAGCGGTGTGTTCCCTGCTGCGTGCTTGATGTACCCAACATGAGCTCCCTGTGTGAACGATGGAATTCTCGAGTGGTACTGTTGAGCCTCTCCCACATCGCGGCCACCTGCACGGATCTGCGAGAGAGGGCCGTGTGGGAACCAAAACACAAGGAAGCAAGCTTCCGATACCACCGCAAACATGACTTGGCCAAAAGTTCAGCAGTTGGCTCACTCCGCGAAAGCCCACCTCATACCCAAAGTGGATCAAAGCAGCATCTCTCGGTATCTCCTGAATGCGGACCTGCTGCATTGCAATCACCTGCGATGCTGTGTCAAGCGTTGCGGGTGCGCTTGAAGTATCCTTGTTTGGTCCGACCCTCTCTGAGACTCTTCCCTCTTCCGGCCCTCAGTGTCGCTCGGTGCCGTCGTCCTTCATGAAGATATTGACACTATAAACACCATCAGACAGAGATGTCCCTAAACTTCAGAAGTTCCGCCACTATAACTACACAACACTTGCATGCAAAGTTACAAGGACATACAGACCTATGCAGCTCGTCTGGTTTCTACCTGCGTTAGAGTATATGTGAATACAGGTGTACCGATGTATGCACACACCAGACTCTAGATGCGTGCATGCATATGGGTGTGTAGTCCTGCTCTCCGTGCAATTGCTCGGCACATCTGCATGTTTCTCCATGCTGACTCTGTACACGTCAACGCCCACATGTACTTACAAGCGCGTTCAAGACGAGATTCTTGTCACGGAAATCGACGTGGCCCATTGTAAAAACTCTTGTCTTCACCCTCAGTCTGCATCTGCGGAGCCTACTTGCCAGAACCAAGACCTTCGAAAATCCTGATGCAAGAACCACGAAGGCTTTGCCTGTGGCTACCGAGGTGAAAGCATGTTCATCGGGTGATGCCGCGCTGTAGCAGCAAGTCATGTGCATGAAAAGCATGCTGAGACAAATGTGAAGACCTTCTTGTTATGTCACGTACCACTGTAACTCCTTGTAAGTACTGCAAAACATGCACAGTGATACGACGGCAGGTAGGACAGGCGTCCTCTCACCTACTTGCTCGATCCCATATAACATGTGTACAATCACGGTATCTATTCAGGACGGTTCCCATCAACTCTCCAAATCTCCGCTCGGGCACATCAAGGAGAAGCAGTGGGCGGGTGCTGCCGGCTCGAAGCGCGGATTGCTCCACTTCGAACAACAGGTCGTGCATCTCATGCTGGTACGTCTCTGTGAGGATAGCAATCCTTGGACGGCTGCATCCACGAAGAGCGATCTAAACATGACTACTAGACAGCTACGAAAGCTTTTTGGCAAAGACCGAGCCGAAAGATGTTGCACAGGCAACCAATTGATTTCTCTGTGCCCAATCCCCAGCAGAGCAGCCCACAAACTCGGAAAAGAGCGTAAATCATTACCTATATATCATTCAGTAGCGCATGCAGCGGTCGGAAACCGATAATGATAATGAGTGCATGCTCGCTCTTGCGCTCTCGCCACAGCACCTTGCCTCGCACTGGTTGTTGTGAGCGGGAGTGCCACTAATGCACTGTGTTGCTTGGCACACCAGCTCCCGGCGCAGCAGCAAGGGACAAACAGCGCCGAGAATCCGTGCCACATCCACTGCTGGAATCTGGTCCAGACTTATAGCCTCATTGAACACAGAAGACCTCAGGACTTCAAAACTGTACGATGCGGCATGCTGCCTACTCACATCAAGCCGAAGTAGTACAAAACTTGCATTCGAGGTGGTTCTACAAGCTCTGCTCGTACATAGCACTTGCCTTCGGCAGAACTGCCAGAAAGACTTGCCCAAATAAGCTAGGAACATCATAGACCATTCGTTCGCCACAGCAACGAAGCCATCTACCATCTCCTGCCGGCTTTCCGAGACGCAAGCTGCACTGGGAAGACGTGACAATCTAGACTCTAGACCGTGACCTGCAGGCGCACCTTCCCATCATTATTGCCAACATGAACACCCTTTGTCGGATGTGCAAAGGTGCCACAAAGATACCAACTGCACATGGCATCGGTTGATTCTCTGCTGCATAGCATTCCGGTCTTGTTCGGTGCATCGTGGGTTCAGGGTTGACCCCCATGTTGTGCATCCAGCAAGCATGGACCCATCACATTCACAGTGCAAGCGGACGGACAAGCAGGTATGAACATTCAGACAATTACTCGCTTGTCTATGGATGCTCGGTTGTGGGCTGGCACATGCGACAGTAGATGTCGTCTCATTTCGTCCGCAAACAGAACAGATGACCCAAGTCTCGTTCCCTCCAAACTACTGCGACGGGTTCGCCCAAACCTTGGATTCACCTAGCTTCAGCGCTGTGACGCGAAACCCGACAGAACAGATGACCTCGAGAACCGTGGAGTTGTTCGGACCTTGGCAGAACTTGTTGATGTTCATTGAATGCGGGACACTGGGACATCTGGAGGCTTGACTTGATACTATACAGAACACATTTCTAAGCAACTGCGAATAGAGCTCTGATAAATCATGTGTGACGATACAGATCTCCAACTGGAGACTTGCTTGTCACATCGGTTTGTCGCGCTCAGAAGCCTTCACATGCCGTGCTGGCATAGCACCAAGCCAACGGCAACACACCCCGCTGGGGCAACTGTGGTTCGTTATCTTGATTTTGCCGGTCCAACAGATTCCCCAATCCAGTCTCAAGCATCCTCGCGGAAAGGGCATCTGCGCCGTCAGTGACGCTTGGCGGAGGCATGTTGTTTGCTGCAACTACTCCATTTCTCATCAAGCTTGATCGTCAAAGTCGTTTTTGCATCTGTTATGGCCCGACAGGGTTGCTGCTGCTTCTTGATGCGAAACCCATTGCGGCTGAAATTTTGCTCGCCCCATGCACTCCGCACCCGGCTGCTTTGTTTTGGGCAATGTCTTGTGTTGGAAAAACCCGTGTGGGCTCCTGAAGTTACATCCATGCATGTGTGTATGCAGTGCACTTCGGAGTGGCTCTTCAAAAGCCGAACGTGTCATTGCTTTCGCCTTTTACTAAAGGTTGCCCCGTGAATGGGACGCACCAATGTGACTGGAACAATCTTTGCGTAGCTCTGAGCTCCAACCAACAGGGGTCCAACTGCTGCCGGCGGACCTAAAGCCGGCCTGCTGCTTCTAAAGCCATCTATCTCTCATCTGCTGGCCTACAATGTGCTGAAAAAGTTGTGATCGTCGATAACAAACCAAATCGTGACCAACACGTACCTCTGTCACCAATGGGTAAAGCAGAATTTAAGCTGGTTGCGGTGTTCGACCCCCCACAACCGGCGTCAAAGGACAAGAAGGCATATCCAAAGAGGGTTTTTTGTTGGCTGACTTTGGTTGTTCGTCTGACAAGTCCAACGACAACTGAAATTGAAAGTCTGAAGGCAACAAGTCCACAAGCCGTTCCTTTGAGACTTTGTTTGCTCGACAGGACTCTTGTGGAATGTCAAAACCGAACAGCAGAAGAACCTCAAATGTCAAAGTCGAACAGCAGAAGAATCTGCCAAAAACCTCAGCTTACAATAGCCAATTCCATGGCTTGCAAGAAGCATGGAACTTCTGCTTAAACTGACGTGGCGGAGATCCAGCAGCTCGCTCTCAGAGGGTCGAGCAGTTCACCGTGCTTTGAGGTTTGCGACGTCGTGTAGGAGTCTCCGATGGTGTCATCGATAGCAGAGGTTTAGGGCGGGACAGCTTAGGATGTAGAGGGTTGACGAGTTAAGCATTTAGGGTTATAGGAGGGAGTCCGACAAGTCGTGCGAGGCAACTCGCTGGTAAGTTTCTAGCGCCATGCAGCCTGCGAAGTCTTTTGCGGCGTTTCGACTCTCACAGCTCAGACAATCCGGGCGAGACGTCTGCACGAGCTCTGGATCATCATGAGGGCCCAGAGGTGGCAACGTTTTGGTCTCAGGGTCAAGAGGGTTTGGGGCTCAGTCCAGGGAGTCCTGGCAATCGTGGCAGCAGGCGAAAGACCGCTCAAAGCAACAAACCACATGTGCGCTCCCGAAGCCCGACTTTAATCTGCCCTCGTGCCCGCTCCTGTGTCGGGGGAGCTGGCATTCCATTGGCTTGGCTGCCCTCCAGCAAGTCTATGAGACTCCTCAGCTGCAATGGCTTCAATGGATCGGCTGAGCAGCGACTCAGAACATGAGCCGAACAGCCAATGTCGTCCTACCTCATGCTGCCAACCTACGACTAATCCCAGACGTATGAAGATTTCGGGTTGCTCGCAGTCGCTTCACAGAAGCACGCCGGTGCTCGAAGTGTGATCATCAACCGACTGGGCTACTTCGACTCGCAATAATTTCAAAAGCAAAGATGCGCTCGATTCGGATATCGCGAACCCTACACGCTACCCTTCTTGACCCAGGGACACATTCCTGCGACAATCATGTGCCCCCTCCAGTCGATACATCATGCCGCAAATTCCGAAGCATTCCGAAGCATCGGGCGTGTTTGAGCCCACAAACGAAAGGGAGCTGCCAAGGTGCTGCGTATTGCTGGTGACTTCCACAGCGAGGTCTACCTTGCCTCGGGGAATACAGATACATGATCACTCATGCTCGAGGTCATTTACCGGGTTTAGCCACCTAAGGCCGTTGGAGTGCTGTGACGGACTGGAACGCTCGGAATTTGAGGCTCCTTCCAAAGCTTGCCGCTTTGAGTTAAGAGCTGGAGTGACTGAAAAGTTAATGTCTGCACCTGTCAACACCATGGCCGATGTGCCATCTCAAAACCCAGCCGTTCACCCAGACTTTCACTGCCAAGGTGCTCTGCTCGACCATGACATTGTTCGCGACTTGCATGTAAAGCCGCGCTATCTTCTGACTGGTGATCTGTTGCTCAGCGAGACCATTTATCAATTTGGCCCACTCACCTCGGAGTTTGGAGCAACCACACATGGCACTGCCACTGATGGGACTTTTCGACTGCAAAAACTTTTGGGCCGTATTGCTGACCAAATTACTGTCGGTGATCGTCGCCAAGGGGTCACAGTCGCCAGGGTCATTCACATAAAGTTTGACTGCCTCGCTCATTGCGACAGCAAGCGGGTCGACGTTGGCAGACATGTTGCTCGCCACAAGCAAGGCGGTAGCAATGCTTTCGGCCTGTGATCGTGCGTTGAAAACCTTGCGAGCCAAACCCCTGACTTCCTGGTAGTAAAACGTGACCGACTTCATTTGATGTATCGTGCACATGCGAGTCAGCTGAGGAATGCCGGCCCACTCTGCACCGCGGAGGATGGCGCTGTGGCTGGCTTCAAACACATCCAGGTTGTTGCGCAACTCTTCAATGTTAGATTCCACATCCACCCTCTTGGCGACGAACAACACGTTTTTCAACATCTTCTGAATGAGAGACCGCTGGCGTCCGGCCGTGTTTGCAAGCAAGCCATTCAAGCGTGCACCGGCAGACTGGGCTGCATCGACAAGGAGGCTCACCACCTGGTTAGAAAGATCGAACAGCTGCTGATTTTGAATGTGCAAAGACTGGAGCACTGAATCCGAGACGTCTGTAGACAAGTCTACATTGTCATTCAGCAGCGCATACATCGCCAGCTTCCTCTGTGTCAATTCGTTTTCGATGGTGTCACGCACATCATCGCTAGGGGCTGGAATGATCTGCAGCTGCGGGTTCCCCATGCGCATGTCCTCGAGGGTGTCTTCAAAAAGGGTCATTGCATCCTGCATCACCCTCTTGTGCTTTGCCACATCGATACCCAAGGTTACCATCAAGAACTCGTTCGTCATAATCTGTGAAAGCGTGCGCTGCCGGCCAGCCGTGTCGATGGTGATGCCCCATTCCTCGTCCGTCGTGGCATTGCCTGTAACCAAGCCATTCTCGCAAATCTGCGTGCGATCACATCTCACCTCGGCTGGATCACTGTAGGCAAAGGGAGGGAGGGAGGGAAGGACAGCGAAAACAAAACGACGTCCCTAAGCTGTATTTGTGGGGTCTTCAGCCGACAAAAGTTGGGGGCAGATTGGGGCAAGACCTGGGGCAGGGGCAGGTTTCGTGCAAAAGCGACGGTTCGGGAAGCGGCTTGCGCGGCGGGTTCCAGGGCAGGTTCCTTCCGGGTTCCGGCTCCAGTTCCAGGGGCCCACAAAGCATTTTTCAAGGCTTGGAAAACGCGGGTTTCCTGGTGCTAACGACCCGGCTGTTTTCGCTTTGCATGTTTCTGGGCGGAAACTGTGCCACTGGTCCAGTGCTGTGTTGCTCTCAACATCTCTCAACGCTGGAGGTCACGATAGTCCTTGCAGGGCCACAATCCACACAGTATTGTGGGGCCGAATCTACGATTTTTTCTTCTTTGCCCGACGCAGCTTTGTGCCTTTTGGCATGCACATCTTCTTCCCGCCCCAGTCTCATGCGCGTCCACCTCCTCACCAGTACTAGTCCTAGCATTGGCAGCAGTAGTCCCCCCTCCCCCGCTACCGCCGCGCCCCAAAGGCTCAAGATCCCATGTCGACAAAATCGTAGTCGTCGGGATCGTAGTCGCAGTACTCGTCGTGGTCGCAGTCGCAATCGGAGTCGCAGTCGTAGTCGCTGCCGTAGTCGTAGCAGTTGTTGTCGTAATGGCAGTGGTCATGGTAGTGGCAGTGTCAGTGGTAATGTGGGCGTGTGGAAATGGCAGCAGTAGCGGTAATGGTAGTGGTTATTGTAATAGTTGTACTGTAGCAAGTGTTTTTGCCTCCTGCATTGCGCTCTGTAGCAGTTGTGTTGTTGTAGCAGTTCTAGCAGTTGTAGCAGTAGCAGTGGCAGAGTAGCAGAGTAGCAGAGTAGCAGAGTCGCAGCAGCAGCGGCAGCGGCAGCACCAGTACCAGTACCAGTACTCGTACTAGTACTGGCACTGGTACTGGTAGCATACTCGAAATAGTAGCAGTAGTAGTCGTCGTCGTAGTGGAAGTGGAAGAAGTGGAAGAAGTGGAAGAAGTGGAAGAAGTGGAAGAAATGGAAGAAATGGAAGAAATGGAAGAAATGGAAGAAATGGAAGAAGTGGAAGAAGTGGAAGAAGTGGAAGAGGTGGAAGAAGTGGCAGAAGTGGAAGAAATGGAAGAAGTGGAAGAAGTAGAAGAAGTGGAAGAAGTGGAAGAAGTGGAAGAAGTGGAAGAAGTGGAAGAAGTGGAAGAAGTGGAAGAAGTGGAAGAAGAGAAGTACAAGCAGAAGTAGAAGGAGGTGAAGCACGCGAAGTCGAAGTAGAAGTAGCGGCAGCAGCAGCAGCAGCAGCAGCTGTATCAGCAGCACGGCTCACTTTGCAGCTGCCACGTATTGGGTTAAGACGACACGGAAAAATCAGAGTGCATGGCAAGCGCAGTACGTGGGCGTTGGCCATCCATCTACGTTTTCCATATCTACTTATCTTCTACGAGTGGCAGACATCCTCTCATTTACAAAATTTACACAGTCATGGCGAATTCGTCGCTTCTTCTGCCAGCCGTTGCTTACGGAAGACTGCCGGTATATGATAAACCTGCACAACCAGCTGTGTCAGTATAACCCTGGCTACATGGTGTACCCTAAGCCCTAAGCCAACTGCTGTATGTTTACTGAGTTTACTGTTTGCTCATGCTTGCTCACGATATGTACGGCCCCCCCCCTCCTTGCGTAATTCTGTCTGTCCGTCTGGCTGTCTGCCTGCCTGCCTGTCTGTCTGTGTGTTCTTGCGGCATGAATACATGACATACTTTGCGAGTCGGGGCGGCGCCGTCATCTTGCAGCACGACAATCCGTTCAAAGCGAAGCATAGCCACTGCAGGCCAAAGGGCACAGGACCCCGCGTCGAAGCGTGTCCCGAAGGCACATTTGATGCACTGCTGCTGGTAATAGAAGCCGTCACAGGTGCAAACGGACAGCTCTGCAGCGCCCTCAGGGGCCAAAAAAAGTGATTTTGCCGACACTCCATGCACAAGCTCTTGACAGGTCAACATCCTCCCACGCACCTGCCTCAAAACTTGTGGTCTGGCCGGGAGGGCACATGGTGCATTGCTGCTGGCCGTCCTCAGTATTTCTTCGGGATGGGGGTGAGACAGGAAAAATGCTTGTTCCATTGCGGCCACTGGTAGAAGCTGTCGAATTGGTGATCCATGCGAAAGCCAAAACCACAACTGCCAACCTCTGCCTCCCAGCCACATTTTCTGCATATTGCCCCAGCGGGCACTTGTTGCCTGGCGGCGAGCTGTACGCAGCGGAATCCTCACGATTTTCCTTGAAGCATAATAAATGTGACATGGGGCGCCCGTGCTCCCACCGAAGAGCAGGCAGGACAACACGTGCCAGCAGCACATTGGGAAGCGCCCCGTTCGTCCATGTACTGGCCTGGGGGAGCAACCCAACACGATCAAGACACCACGAAGCATGGTGGGATATCCCGGGCAGGCATGCTCCAAACATCTCCAAGCCCGTGTCAACACGAAACTGTCGCTATTAGGCCAAAAGGAACAAATGGGGAGAGAGACTTGTCTTCCCCGGTCCTGCAGGACAATCCTGGCACGACGATGCACGCGGGAATGGCGCTTTCGTACCAGCACCACACAAAGTGCAGCCTGCCATTCCGGGCTGGTCTGTGAAGGACCCCGGTGCACATTCGCCACATTCCTGCATCCCGCTAGTGGCATACCTGGTCGTGGCGAAAAGCAGACTCACGCCAGAGCCAAATGAGGTACGAGTAGTACCCAACACAATACGAGCTGAGGTACTCACCAGGGGGGCACTGGATGCAACCAAGTTCGATGGAAAACACTGTTCCATCTGGGCAACTATCTCCGCGATCTTTCGGCACATGCCCGGAAGATAAATCACAAGTTCCAGTGCTACAAGAAAGGCGGTGCAAGGGGTCAGGGCTCCAAGCGATGTCTGCCTTGAACTCTATTCCAGAATCTGTCCGGTAGGCTAGCTCATTAAAGGCATTGTCGTAGCTTCCGACCACCTTAGTCCGGATCATGCGAGAGCTGCACAGCTTTTGCATGCAAGATGATGAACCAGAGGCATTTGCCTTTGACCTTAGCCAAGACACCTGGCGGAAAAGGATGATTCCTTCCCGATCTCCATGTGAGGGAGGTGTTGTAGTTGGATCCACGGAGTTGAACAACCGCACCCGTCCAGTCAGGCCGACGAAGTCTGTCGAAAGTGACAAATCGTAAAGGGCTTGGCGCGAGGCTTCAGTTCGCAGATCGGATATTGACCTCAGCAGGCCAGTTCTGCAGTTCTGCTCTGCCAGTCTTATGGGCATCTGCAAACTGCGTCCATGCCCCGCCTCCCTCCATCTACCAAATAAGCATGCAGAACATGCGCAATCAACCACAAGCCATCGTAGAAGTATGCAGCCCACTGGTGGTTGCAAGGTCCGTTGCCGTTTGCAAAGCCACTACACTCGGCCGTGTAGTTTGCATAGATGTCTGCAAGTCGCACACCAGAGAGTTCATGCAGATCATTTGTTTGTTGCATAGGACCGCGATCCAGTGCCAACATACCATATGCTGCACGGTGCAACTCCTCTGGAGTGCAAGGACAATCCGCGGCACCTGCCCTCTCCAGGATGAAGCCAGGGTTCCACCAGCCAGATGCCACGATGAAGATGTAGTCCGGGGAAAGCATGTTTAGCTGGTAACTTTGGCACAACAACATGGACCCAGTGTCTGCATACAACGCCACGAAATTGATGCGTGAGTCTGTCCGACGCATTTCGGCCAGCGCATGCTGGACATCGGGGATGTTGCCCGGGCTGGTGACGGCGCTTACGTGCAGAATTGCCCATGCATACGCCCCAGAATCCACGTCTGTCTGGATAAGCTCAACAAACATGTCCTCGCAGTCCAAGGTTTAGGAAAACGCTCAGGGTGCGACGGAAGTCGCCTGTGCAAGCACAAAGCCGTCAGCATTGCATACTGAACCCATGATGTTTCACTTGAGGACCCGAAACCCTTGACAAAACCCTGCCCCCTCCGCCCTCTCGACCCCACCTCTCAGCCCCCGCCCACGTCCTTCGCCAGGATGTTGATCGCGTTAAAGCCGTGCCTCTAGGCGACCAATTGTAATCAAGGCTAGCAATTATCACAAAACCACGAGTTCGCTGCTCAAACGCGCGTTTCCCCGTCAAGCAAACTGCATCCAAGCATCACGATGCCAACTCTATGAAAATTCAGGAGTTTCATGAACTCGTATACGGCCAAGATGTTAAAACGATATGACGGAGCCATGCGGGTGAAGTAGGGATACCGGACCTTGGCTCATCTTGGCTCAAAGCACAACAGACCAGGCAGAGTCCGAGGAATGACGAGAAGCCCTGGTCTACACAAGCCAGGGTGCCGAATCGCTGAGGCTGGTTGAGGTGCAGCCAGGACCGACCTTCCGAGGGCAGAAGCACCCGTCGAACCTTGCCATTTTCGCAACCCACGTAAGCCCTCCTCAACCCGCATGATTCGGCCTGAAGCACATTGAAGAAAGAGGCCGCATCATTTATGGCTTCGCAAGCAGAACTGCAAGAATCACCTCCCATGAGGTTACAACATGGTATGGATTTTCATAACGCCATCAGCTCAAACTGTTGCTGCCGTCAAGCAGCCGAAAATGATGTGTTTAGGCACTCCCGTCGACAGTGCCGTCACTGTCGCCACGGTGGCATCTCTTGCGTTGCACTTCGTGTCCACCAACAGCATTCTTAATCGGTAGCCTGCGCCACAGCATTCGCAACATAGTCTCGTCTTTGCTCACCTATCATTATCCCTGCCTGGAAGAATGTTGCTGTTCTCAATATCCTGGGTGGCACTGGCAAGGGCTGGCTCAACCATCGTCATCAAATCACCGGTGGAGCCACTGTAGGGACTCATCACCTCGAGATTCAAGAAAGCTCCCAGTGCTTTTGTCCAGATATGATCATATGGTGTGCTTGCACACGAACTCAACCATACACTTCGTCTCTTCTGGGTGACCGCTGCCAGCAGCTAAATTGGACATCCTTCCTGTTTGCCTGCCCATGGAGTTTTCTTTCCGTGCTTACGAAGACGACGTTTGAACTGCTGGAACAACCCACTGCGCACAACTGAACGCCACTAACAAAGGCTCTCCGTGTCTGTCTCTGTCTTCACTTCACTTCATTTCACTATTCGGTTCGCTTCACTTCACTCCACTTCACTGTGGGGCGTAGGGGAGGGATCAGGCCGAGCCGAAAGGCTCACCCTCGTTTGAGGGCCTTGTGAATGGGTATGGAAACACGGCCCAAACCCAGGGAAAAAACCTACATCGGTAAAAGGCACGGTTTCTCTGTCGTCTTGGCTTGTCTCGGCGGCTGTATCTTCTGCTGTGTCTTGGCTGTGTCTGTTGTGCGCCTCCCTTTTTTTCCCCTGGTGTCCCCTCTGTGTCCCCTTGCTGTGTCGCCCTGGGTCTCCCTCGCCGTTCGCCCTGTTTCCCTCCCCGTCTCCTTTCTGTTCCCTCCCGTCCCCTCTGCGTGCCTGTGTGGGACAGGGCACAGCGGATAAGGGAACGGCGACGTCCCCTGTCCGTTCCCTGTCCCCTGTCCCCTGTCCGGCATCAAGTCCCTGTCCTGGTCCCAGTCCCTGTGTCTCTGTCTTTGTGTCTGCGACATTGTCCGGGTGCCAGGCCCGCCTTGGTCCTGTTCGTCATGTTGGCAATACATAAACCCGTCCCAACGTCAACTCAGTCTCTGTCTCTATCACTGTCTCTGGTTCTGCGTGCTGTCACAATGTCCCCCACTTGTTCAAGGGCCAGCCACCAGCACATTGATCTCGGTGGCCCCTGCACGAGCCTTTGTCCCAGCAAGTCAAAAGCAAATGGCTAGACCACGTGCAGAAACCCGACATGCCGACAATCCCTGCATCTGTCAATCATGTCCAAGCCGAGGGCTGGATTGGCCGCAGCTACAATCTCACAGTTTGTACCATGGTACCTCCACGGGGTTTGTGCAGATTCAAGGCATTGGATGTGCAAACATCTACTTCAATGCTGATGCGCCTGCATGGCCACTGCGAGTTGTCTGCGGCCGTGCACAAGGCAGGGCAAGCCGAACTTGTGGACCCATTGACCGCCGCTAACAAGGTCAGCCAACCTTGATTCATCGATTGCCGTGTTTCCCTGTGTTTTCATGATGCATAAAGTCGGCAACCGCGCTTCTATGCTTTATGCTTCTCTGTATGCTGGCTTCCCCGATGGTCCCTGACGTGTCGGGTTCGTCCCGCACCGGCACACGGGCACGACAAGAGTTGCAGAAGCGGCACATTGTTCGCCGTATGCATCGAGGAGCCAGCACTTGTGATTCGCCGTTTCGGGTCAAACAAGTCTAGCTAGAGTCACGTGTCTTTTCGGACACCTGGGCGCAATCTCGTGATAGTAAGCATCGTCGTCGTAATCGTCGTCGCGAACGGCTTGCCGCTTTGGCATGGCGCTGGATGACAGGTTCGGCAACGAACAATCGCAGCCTCGGTTGCCCGCTGGTCCGGACTGCTCGCCGCAGCCCCAGCGCGCTCATGCAGCAACCCTCCTCGAGCTGCACCCGGTGGTAAGGGGCCCATGCCCGACCTGCATGAGTTCCTTGCCGACGCTTTCTGGCACTAAAGCGGGTCGCGCACCTGCGACACAAGTCCCTGACCGACCGCGCCAACCCATCCGGGGGGGTCTGAAGCCCTCCCCCGCTTACAAGCTTGAATCCGTTTCAGCCACCCGCATGAAATAGAATAGAGGGGGTGAAGGTTCCGAGATTTCTTTTTCACACACCTTTTTCCGCCAGCAACTGTGTCCGGCTCCAAATTTCAGAGAAGAAAAGTCGGTCCCCTAGTAGGGCCGACTCATCGCAGCGGCAGGCGGCTCAGCGCCCGTCCGGCCCGGCCAAGTCCAAGACCACATCCAGGCCCGGCACATCGGTATGCGCCGGTCCCGGCATGGCCCTAGCACGCCCGAGCGCTGTGTGGCCGACGGCTTGTTGGACGGCCACGGAGAGCATGCTCCACCATCGGCGGGCCCAAGCTGCTTTCGCAGCGCTGCTTTCGCAGGGGCTCGCACAGCCGGTGGGGCTCTGTGCGCACGGAGACCAACGAGGCGCCTGACCAGCTGCACGGCGTCTGCGTTCCACCGTCCACCGACGTCGCAACCGAGCACGCACAGGGTCTGCGCGCCGCCTGCAGCGAGCTCGGGGTAGGTGGCATTCTTGCGGCGCAGAGCGGTGCGCAGCACTGCCCCATCTTGTGCGGCCGCGCCGGGGTGAGGCTCGCCGTCGCGCGTAAGAGGCGAGACCAGGTTCGCATCGCAGCAAAGAACTCCGCCCAGGGGTGCAGCGCCGTGGATGACCAGGTCAAGAGCGCGCGGTGAGGAGGTGGCAAAAAACGCAGCAGCACGTGGTCGCGGAAGAAAAGGTTCCGTGTACGCGACGCAGTGTGTTGCCACCCATGCCACCGGGCTCGGTGATCCCGTCAGGTCGGTCGGGTGGGCGGGCTCCCTGAACCACGCTCTCCCAGGAAGGCACGTCGAAACATCCTTTCTGTTCACGTGTGGCCGGCAGCTGCTCAGCTCCCCCGGTAACTGGCATCAACGCGTTCAACGTGTTGAATCCTGCTGCCACTCCCTGCCCTTTGTAAGTGCCAGTCTTACTGTTACAAAAGAAGTAACGATCTTCACATAATGGGAAAATGATGGATATCTACTACCTTGACCCTTTTTTGCATCCAGGCGTCTTGAAGTCTTGCCGGTGAACCTTGACCCTTTTGCCTCCTAACCCCAGCCCGAACCCTTTGATCGAAGGAAACAACCTAGGCCCCACAACCCTTTCCCCCAATGCCCTCTGTTGTAGCTGCTGCTAAGATCCCGTGGCCTCCTCTGTTATCGAAAGGCTTGTTCTTGCAAAGGGCACGGGAGTGGAAACAAAATTCAACAAGTTGATGCCTATTGGTCCACCGGGGAGCTGAGCAGCTGCCGGCCACACGAGACTTTTACGCTTGCACGCCGTTGGCTCAAGCAGGGCTCAAGGTTAGAGTGCCAGTGTAGCATAGAAGCCCCAACAGTTGGTTTCACCTTAGGGATTCGGTAGTGCCTCGAAAAGGGAGGCTAGCGACGCCTGCGTGTAGTGTGATGACCATGGAAGCTGGGATGACGCCGCCTACTAGATCCGTGAAAAGACCAGCTCGCTCCCCTCTGCACGAGATGGATGACGACACGCACGATGATGGATCGATAGGCTTATCGGTGGCCACCATTGGAAACATTGTTCGTGCTGAAATTGAGAGGGGGTTGGCACCCGTTGAACAGAAGTTGAACCACATTCACAACATTTTGGACGAGCGCATTGACAAGATCGAAAGCACGGTGGGTGAACAGGGTCTGCGAATCGATAAATTGGAGCAGCTCGTGATGCATACAGAAGGCACACCGCGATCGCATGTATCGGAACGCAGTGTTCAGCTGGAGAACCAAATCAGCGATTTGCAATCACAGGTGGCCGCTTTGCGAACATCGGAGTCAAGCGTCCAGCAGGATTACATGCGAACTATGGTGATTGGAGGCTTGGATGCGTTGCCATCACTGCAAGACGCCACAACATGGTTGACAACTAAGCTGAGCGCATTGCAAGGCCCATCACACATTGGCACATACATGAAATCGCAAACGTTTCAAGGGCTGCTGTTTGCTAAATTCAGAACCTCGGTGGACCGGGACACGGCAGTGGCCTTGTTGAGAAGTGCCGAAATGCATGAGAAGGGCAAACGAGTGTGGGCTACGCAAGACTTGCCGATGCTGCAACGCGTTCAGAAAGTTTTCATCATGGGACTTCGATGGCAGCTTGGGGAGTGGGGTTTCAT